CTGAGAATGGAGAACTAGAATTTTCTGTCAGTATGCATTAAATATAAGCTTGTCAAAAAGTGCATATTGCAATTTTATTAGACATGAGTATGGATGATGTAATCAGTTTTCCCTTTTTTGTTTTGGTTCAAGTAAGCGAAAATGGATTTACTCAATATGTACAATTTGGAAGAATGACAAACCATGACACACTATTTGAACTGATAATATTTTCAGACAGTATTTCTATATTCTTATTTCCTTCAAAAAATAGTTAAGGTTTGGCTTTTTTTTGTTTGTCTGGTTGGTTTTTTGGTTTTGTTCACTACATATTTAGCAGATAAATTTTGATACTTCCTCCTCTTCTACAATTCAAAGAAAACCTTCTCCTTTAAAAGCCTTAACTTGTTTATCATTTGACACAAATAGAATATATTTGGGCCACCACTTACCAGTTTATAATTGCACATGTAACTCTAACCCAATGTCAGGGAAAAGCAAATTTACAGAAATACCCCTTAAATCTGTTTTTTAGAAAAACACAACTCTGAACCACTTTCTTCTTCTTCTCAGTATTCTCCAGTCAATACTGATAGATGGTGAATAGAGTAAAATTCACCATCTCTGGGTTTCAATTAGATATACACTGGTCTTCAGCTAGTAAGCATTTTCTTCCATGGAATGGGCTGATGGTCTTAAACATTCATTTTACTTTAGGACTGCATTATCTACGAAATGCCTGGAATTCCAGTTACACAAAAAACTATGAGTATACCTTTAAATGTAAGGATGAAACACACAAAGAAATGAACAGCAGGTCTTCAGAAAACCAGAACAAACTTGTTGACCCAAAGATAGGGAAAATATAAGTGATCATCATATTTCTAAATTAGAAAATAAATTTCTAGTAATTGTATAATATCACCACTAGATTAAGAGACAGTTGCGCTGCAGAAACTTGACACAGAAGAAACATCAAAAGTGATGTATGAGAATCCAATAGTGTAAACAGCCTCAACAGTTCACATTTCTAAAAAGATACAAATAAATGGGACTTAAGTTTAAATAAAACTGTGTTATGTCACAGTGATCAGTTAAATCTGGGTGAAATAATTTACTCAGAACTGATACTTGTTAATCATAGAATCATTTAGGTTGGAAAACAACTTTAAGATCATTAAGTCTAACTGTTAAACTTGCACTGTCAAGTGCACCGCTAAATCACGTCACTAAGCACCACATCTACAAATCCTTTAAATACCTCCAGGGATGGTGACTCCACCAATTCTCTGGTCAGCCTGTTCCAATGCTTAACAACCCTCTTGTTTAAGAAATTTTTCATAACCTCCAAACTAAACTTCCCCTGCTGGAACTTGAGGCCATTTCATAGAATTATAGAATGATAGAATCATAGAATAGTTTGGATTGGAAGGGACCTTTAAAGGTCATCCAGTGCAACTCCCTCACAGTGAGCAGGGATATCTTTAAGTAGATCAGGTTGCTCAGAGCCCTGTCCAACCTGTCTTTGAATGTTTTCAGGGATGGAGCACCTACCATCATTCTGGGCAATCTGTTCCACTGTTTCACCACCCTTGAGTAAAAGAAAAAAAATCCCTCCTTATATCTAGTCTGAATTTACACTCTTTTAGTTTTAAACTATTACTCCTTCTCCTGTCACAACAGGCCCTACCAAAAAAGACTGTCCACATCTTTCATATAGGTCAAATTTAAGAATCAAAAGGCTGCAATCAGGTCTCCCTGGAGCCCTCTTCTGCCCAGGCTGAACAACCCCAAGACACTCAGCCTTTAGAATCACAGAATCATAAACTCACCATGGTTGGAAAGCACCTCCAAGATCATCAAGTCCAATCTTCCTCCCAACATTTCCCTAACCACTAGACCATAGCCACCCTCAAGGGCCCCTTCCACTTGCTTTTTGAACACCTCCAGGGATGATGACTCCACCACCTCCTGGGCAGCCTGTTCCAGTATCCAAACACTCTATCAGTGAAGAAATTTTCCCTCATCCTATCATCGGTAATTTGGAAGAAGAGACCAACACCAGCCTCACTACAACCTCCTTTTAGGTAGCTGTTGAGAGCAATAAGGTCTCTTCTCAGTTTCCTCTTCTCCAGACTAAACAACCCCAGTTCCCTCAGCCACTCCTCACAAGGCACGTTTTCCAGCCCTCTCACCAGCCTCGTTGCCCATCTCTGAACCTGCTCTATCACCTCCATGTCCTTCTTAACCTGTGGTGCCCCAAACTGGACACATTGCTGAAGGTGAAGTCTCACAAGTCAAAAAAAATAGTTAAAAAAAGAGTTAAAAATTAGAATTATCATAATGAAGAGCAAGAGTAAAAGACAAACTTAACCCTGGTACAGTAACACAGTGACAGGACTGAAAAGAGTTTAAGGAAGAGATTTAAGTGTGGAGTGTTTGATTTTACTTCACTTGAATGAGATGGTATTGGTATGCATAACCATAGCAACAACATGTGTTGACAACTGCTTAATGAAAAGAGCCATACACATAAAGGACTTTGCTATACACCTCATCCCACCCATTAGTTCACCTCCACTAAAGTTCTCTGCATCTAGTTTTCCAGACCTTCTACAGCATCAAACAGCTGCTCCTTAGGCAAATGAAACTGCTACTCTCTCAAAAAGAAAAAAAAAAATATAAAACTCCACAAAAGAAACCAAAGGTATTTTAAAAGGCATATGGGGCAAGATCATTGCAGAGGAAAGATACAAGCTTTACCACAGGATGGCAATAATTAATACCAGCCAGATTTAATTAAGTTTTGTCATGGAAATCTAACAGAAATAAACAAAGAAAAACTGCCCCAAGTACAACCTTTTTTAATGTTAAATCTAGAACTTCAGATTTTGCAAATGTTTCTTATTAATTAGTTTTCTTCTTTTTCTCTTCCTCCTAATCCTAGTGAGTAGATTTGTGGCAAGACCAGCCTCTAGTTTCAGAAGTGGACAAATATATAATAAGAAATAATAGGTGTTTTGTTTAGAATTTTCTCTAACTGTATCTAAAATAATTTTTCTCTTATATGGAATTCATGACAATTCTGAGTAAAAGTTTTCTGGTCATTTTAAATTTTTCCCTAAGCAATTATTGATTTTCCAACTAACTGTTTTATTTTATAAACTTAACTGACTTTTGCATGAAATTTTTTAAGTAATTTTGGTCCTTTTTTAACAAAAAATGAAAGTAAAAACGTGCTGCCTGTTAGTTACCATAAGGCGCTCAGAACTGCACAATCAATGGATAAACCTTTCTTTCTGCTGTCCTCTCTCTTTTCACTTATTCCATCAAAACAGGACTTCTCTTTGCTCCTTCCTATTTTACAGAAACAAACAAACAAACAAAAAAACACACAAAACAAAATAAAACAAAACAAAACAAAACAAAACAAAACACAAAAACCAAACAAAACCAAACAGAACTTCCTGTAAAACTTTCTAACCATATTTAGTGTGTCAAGAGCTCATAGTGTACTGGGAAACCAGCGGTGAACACAACTGGGAAGACTTCAACACATTACAGCCTATTTCATTAAACCACAAAACCACCATCTGTAGAAGGGAAACTCTTCCTGTCTTCCAGGTAGCAGCTCTGTGTCATATTATCTTAAAATACATTAAATAAATATTTTTATCTGTATATACAAAGCTCTGCTGTCTACATTGAAAACATAGGTATATGCATATGAAATATACAACTGGGAAACTATATCAACACTGTCTTACTCTAAAACTTGACTGAACTATATTTGTTTAAAAAAAAACATATTCCCTGAACTGAGATGGAAATGAAAAAATTTTAGATGAAATGTAAAGATCAGAGAAGTTCTCAACCACTGTTAATAAGTTAACTACACTTAATACACAGTAATGTGCCAAAACCTATGCTTTGAGATTTTTCAAGACTTATTGGGTCAATTTTGTTATAATGAAGTCACGCTCTAAGATTTAAAATTCTTGGCTCTTATGCATGTACATATACCCACACTAGGTATGAGAATAACTCTTACACAGTATTTATATTATTAATTACTGCCAATAAAAATACAAAGTTTGCTGTTAATCTCGAAGTAAAAGAGATATATAGCATATGCATGTTACATGTATTGCATGTGATATCTTCCCATTCTCATTTCCTGCATTAGCTAAAGGAGTTTTTATACCTGCATTCATATTCACAGTACCAACTTTCTATTTCTGGGTATCCTAGCAGTGACTAAATTAAATATGAAGCCAAAAAAAAAGAGGAAGAAACAAATATTGAATGACCTTGAAGTCACAATGAAGCGCATTGCATGAATTTTGGTGCTCTTGTCTTGAAAATGTGCATTTCCACTTCACTCTTTTATGTCACATCGTAGGAAACAGCTTTTGAGTATTGATTATCATACATTATAAGCT